TTTGTTTTTCTTACATCTTCCTGATTTACATTTATCTGTCACTCACTGGCTGACAAGGACATAATTCACCTACTGAGAATTCACATCTAGGCTTGTGCTAACCTTACAAAATTTGATTCTCAATCCATTTCTCAAGTACCCAACGCTACAGACATTCATGAAGCATTATTCCATCCTTCCATACCCTAAGGCCACCAAGGTTGTCACTCTTGCTTCCACTCCAGGAAGTATCTTGACACATGAGCATAGTTTACTGCTTTACTGGACATCAAACACCACGTAAAATTGCTGAGCTGAACTCAAGAGCTAAAAGGTTAAATATTCAGTCCCTAAGTGAGACACTTCATATAGAAGTGAGACACAAGGAGATGCCTTGTGTATCTGCAAAGCAGAAGGGAAAAACCCCCTTAGACACAGCTGCTAACAACCATGTTTTATGCAGAACGCTGGGGGGATACTCTATTTTTATAACTTTCATCCATAAAATAAGAAGATAAAGCTTCTGGAAAGAGAACACAATTACCCCGCAATGATATAACAGTCAGAATAAATTCAACACAATCTGTATAAGCAAAAAGCATCCAAGCTTTTTTTCAGTTGGCAGTAGATAGTACTTTTAATAACTGCCCTATTGTCAACCTTCAGAAACGATCTCCAGAGCCATATGCAGGTTGGCAACCAGGCCCAGCGCCTAACTAGTTTTTGCATCTAGTTGTACAGAAGCAGAGACATATGGAAATGAACAGCCTGGCAGAACAAGTGAAGTCTAAAGCAATGACTTCGATAAATAAATGCCTGCACGTTGGCAGATGGAGAAAAGCGCAGTAGGGAGGAACTGTATTGCAGCAGCAACTTGATTTTAAACGATTCGTAAAAATCAGCCTGAACTTCAGAATTAAGGCATTTCCAATCCCTTCAGATCTCTTCTTGTTGGGAAAAATTCTCACCATAAAAAGAGGGCAGATATGGGTAGAAAGATGTATCTAACAAAAGGTACCAGAAGCTGTTTCAGTTCAGGGAGCAGAGAACAGGACTGGGTGGCCGCTGATCATTTTTGCCCCTTGTTACTTTGCTAATCACGTTTTTAGTAGCTTTTAGAAAGACACAACTAATCATTTCCGAAAGTCTAGAAAAGCAAGATGCAGAGAGACATCCTCAGGCCCTATGGCAGAGCCTGAGATGTAAGCACAGTGGATACAGGTATGTGGGATACACAAGACCTCTCCACAGCGAATGGAACCTTGTGCTTGATGCAATAGGCACCTTCTGCAGTCATTCCCCTGGAGACCAGTCTATTTGTAGGCAAATTGAATCTTTCCTATTTGCAGGCTGCAGACTGACTCCTAGTCACTGTTAAATGTGACAGATAAGTGGAAAACAAGTATTACTACTCCCCTGCTGCTAGCAGGAGACTATTCCAGCATGCTTATTCCACTTTTTGGGATAAGGGGTCTCCTTGGCTGGTGACCTCAAAGATTATTCTTCCTACCAGTCCTGAAACATTTTCCTGCCTATGTCCTCTAACCCCAATCAACATTACAGTGTGAGAGACAGCAAGGGAAAAGGCATCCCTGTATCCCATCGGAAAGCGCAATGCAACAAAGAACATTCCATGCAGCATTTGCCTTACTCTTACACATCGTACAGCACAGACAGCATCATACGTCCCTACATCCTTCCTCTCTCTTCATTAATAGCCTCCTATACAATAATTAAGATCTGTACCAGCAAGGGAAAAGGCATCCCTGTATCCCATTGGAAAGCACAATGCAACAAAGAACATTCCGTGCAGCGTTTGCCTTACTCTTACACATTATGCAGTGCAGACAGCATCATATGTCCCTATATCTTTCCTCGCATTTGCCTTACTCTTACACATCGTACAGCACAGACAGCATCATACGTCCCTACATCCTTCCTCTCTTAATTATTGTATAGGAGGCTATTAATGAAGATCTGTATCTTTAGGCATAGATGCAATCTGACAGGGAAGATTTTCAGCACACAACTCTCATTCAAATCTGACAGGGAAGATTTTCAGCACACAACTGTCATTAAAGGTCTCCAAAGACAAGAAAAAAATCAAGAGTTAAAGGCACATTTTAATTCTTTGGAGTCTACTTCCACAATAGGATTGCACCATACTGGTGCTGGCATGGTATGCAAGCAGCCAGTACCTGTGGTGACCTTCTCAACTACAACAAGCCCTTTCCTATAAAATACCACTGACATGCACCCAAAAGCAGCTAAATATGGAACTCCCTGCCCAGTACATTTTAATTCTTTGGAGTCTACTTCCACAATAGGATTGCACCATACTGGTGCTGGCATGGTATGCAAGCAGCCAGTACCTGTGGTGACCTTCTCAACTACAACAAGCCATTTCCCATTAAATACCACTGACATGCACGCAAAAGCAGCTAAATGTGGAACTCCCTGCCAGACACGTGCTGAATCTCTTCATCCCCAGTACCAACCACTACATACAGTAAAAAGAAAAGAAGGGAAAGAGACACATGAAGAAACCAAGGAGAAAATAATGCAGACAAACCGTGATGGTTCAGAGATACCAGGTCAGCCATATGTACCAATTACCACGCTTTTTCAAGAGAACAGTCACTTGCTGCTGTCCCCGAGCTGTAGCCAAGGGGACAAGCTTCATGCTGTAATGGAAAGCCAAGGCAAAATTAACCTTAAGATTATTGTGAAGCAGACGGAGATGAATTTAATGAAACTTTAATAAACTAACTAAGCTTCACTTAACTTCCCCTCGATAAAAGGCCACCTTTTGTTACAAAGAAACTCCCTTTCTCTTCCTGACACTTCATCAGTTAATATTACGCCTATGATCTCACTTCTTTGCACTGCTTGGTTACCCACCATCTCAGAACTCGAATATCTGTAATACCTCATCTTCTCCTCCCACATCACATGGTAATGAAGGCAAACCGGCAGGCAATGATTTTCAAATGACTGTACCTAAATCCAATCCCCACGTTATGCTGAAGCCTTTTACAATGGAAATCACTTTAGAACCTCTTTCACTTTGCTAAGAATCACCACGGGAAAACCATGACCTGCCTTCCACAGACCCTCCCACAGATCTCTCAGCTCTGTAACCCTCTAGTGTGGATCAAGCTATTTGCTTCACTGCATCAGCTGCCCACATAAAGTCCACAGCAAAGCGAGTACACCTTGTCCATTAGCAAGTACATCAGTCCAATGAGTCAATGGCCACATGAACACACAAACTGAAAATAACAGTGGATTATCTTTTCACGTATGCCACTGTGTAAATGTTTTGTAATAAATAATAACAGCCACTATCAATCAAGGGAGCGAAGAACAGATGGGAAGGAGGTTGTGTTGAGAGAAAGCCTCAAACAGGAATATGTATTTTCTCCCCCACCTTTCATCGGTCTGCTAACAGCCCTGAATAAACCCTTGAAAATCTCCAGATAACAGGCAATCCCCATCAGTGCATTCCAACAGTCCATGCGACTCTGGCTGCTTCACCACACCAGTACAGCAGCATCACCCACACAGGAATGAATGGGGGTTTGGGATTGCCCTCATTCCTTCTATGATCAGCTCCTCTACCCAGCACAACAGCATTATCCACACAGGAATGAATGGGGGTTTGGGATTGCCCTCATTCCTTCTATGATCAGCTCCTCTACCCAGCATTATGGTCATTTCACCTACTGTCACCTTCAGGCAGGTCTGACAACAGATCTGATCCTGGTTAGAAAATAGTCCCTTCTAATGATGACCCTCACACTTCTCCCTTCCTTGAAGAAAATCTCAGGGCTAGCTGAATTGCTTAGTTTTTCTTACTTTTGTAAGAAAGTATTTTGTATTTAAGTTTTTAAAAGAAGTGGATGTTTACAGGATGGCTGCTTTTTGGTCCAGCAAAACAATTACTGAATCTCCAGCTTAACATTACAACTTGAATTAAGATCTCATAATACATGTTGTAGCAAATTCACTTAAGGCTGCAGATTTAACATAAGAGGGCAGTCTGCGGCACACGTTTATATGTAACATACCATCTTCACCAAAATTATCTAAAACTTTAAATAACTTCTAAATAACTCTACACAAAAAGTGGGTTCCAGATTCTCATTTGTAATTACATCATTGTACACAACTCTAGTTGCAAGAGCCTTAAAAATGGACAAAAACTATGGTCCCCTACACTCCCAGATCTTGTTACTCTTTGCGACTGATCATCCTTAGCTTGGTCTTAGTACAACGCCGTATGCTTAAATACACGTAAAACATTGTGCAAGAATTACATTAGGGCTGCATTTATGACCTATACTCTGTTCCACACTGTATCTGAATGATAACAGCTTCACTCTTGCTGCTAAGACCCCACAGGAAGGCAGAGAGCGTTACACCACAGCAAGCAAAGAAGGATCCAGCCCTTGAGATTTCCCCTTCTGCAGAGATGAGCAATATTACCCTCCAGCCTCAGCTGTTGTGATAGGTCTTAAAAACAGCAGAGCCATGGTGGTTCCCAAAGGAGTGACATGAAGTGAATATTTATCTCCTTGGCAGTGTGGGGGCAGACAATGGATGGTGTATCAGAATTTAACTGGCAATACAGATTCAGAAAGCTTGAAAACTACAATCAGGTTAAATCAGTACCTATAAACAGTGAACAGTGGAAGAGGCTGAAAAATCAGTCTGTGCTCAACCCCAGATACCACACAGGGGGCTTTTTCCCCCACCTTTTTTTCTTTTTCCCCTGACAGACCCTTCATTGAGTTGGAAAGACAGTCAAGAAAAACACTTTGGTTTACATAGTAACAAGTAATTCATAATACTGTAAGCAGCCAAAATAGCATGTATTTCAAGAACTACCTAACCTTCTTGAAAACAAAAACACACCTGAAAAAAAACACCACCACAAAACCCAAACAATCTTTTTTCTGCATGTCATGTTTTTCAGTTAGTTATGAAAACGACAAAAAAGAACAGCAGGAACCACGTACCTTAGCTATTTGGACACACCAGTTTAGCAGAAGCTGGGAGCCAATATTATCCTTATGTTCATGAACATAATCCAGCAGGCAGCCGTGAGGCATCAGCTGAGTGACCAGTTGAATGGTTGGGCTCAAGCAGACACCCAGGAGTCTCACCAGGTGCGGGTGGTCCATGCTGGCCATGATAAGAGCTTCCTGTAACAAAAGAAGTGACCCAGTTACTCCAGAGTGCTTGAAAACTATGCACAGATGATTTCCCATTTCCCATTGAGCATCTAAAGGGCATCAGTGTCTCCTAAGTACCAGGAACTCCTGTGTTCTCTAACCACTGCTAGGTACATTCCAGTCTGATGGGATGTATGCTTGACATATGAGCCCTGAGCAGTAAGCCTGTATGAACAGATCCAGCAAAGACTCAGACCAAAATTTCTGAATTTCCTGTCCTGTTACTGCCATAGAAGCAGATGGAAGTGTGACACACTTGACTTTGCTTAAAGGTCTCATTGGTCTTGTTTTACTTCCCTTAGTTTTTGTTTCTTGAATATATTTTCCCAATTTGTGATCAATCCATTGGACATCAGGGTTTTTTTATGCAAGCAAACTAAGCCACTTGTGCATAGTTTGATGGCCAGTGAGGCTTCATTTGGCAAGGTATTTGATTAAGCTGTGCTAAAATGCCTTACTGGATCAGAGATTTCATACTTAGTATTTTACAGGCTTAAGCATCAACATTTATATGTCAATTGAAGCTTTCCCAAAGTTCAACCTGCAAAGGGTTAAGAAAGAGGAGGTTCACTGTAGGCTTTTCAAATGTGTCTGATGTTCTTAAGTCCCAATGAAAATCAGCAGATTTATTAAACCATGAGGATACGACCGTGCTACTGTCTCTATGGCTGTTGTACAGCAACAGTCTAAACCAGTGGTCATGATGGTACAGTGTTAGAGCAGCTGTAGGAACAGTCCTGCCCGTCTCCTGGTGTTGCCACAAACAGACCACTACACAAAGCAGCAGCTTTCCAAATCTGAGCCTCTTAGCTCAGCTTCCAAAATGTTCCAAGACATTCTTCCAAAGTCCTCTATCAACAGATCTTGGGCAAGTTATTTTGGTTTTTTCCGTGGCTTAGATTCCTACACAATGAACAGGAGGTAATATTCTTTTCATTCTTCTATACTTTATTTATCTTTTTCAGATTGTAAGTTTTCGGAGGTTTTCAGCCAGCTAGCTAGGTTGTCCAATACCAAGGACTAGAAGGACTTACCCTTGGCTACACTAGTCATCCTTAAAGTTTGTCCCACTGACAAATAGCATAGAAACTCCATATAAAAAGACCCTACATATCTGTTCTTAGAGGTAACGCTGCCATCACAAGCAACTGGCATTTGAAAAAAGCTGGGAGAAAGCTTTTCTCTCTCATTCACTAAGCTGAGTCCTCCATTTCAAGACCACTTCATCATGGCACTGGAACAATGAAAAGTGAGATGAAACTGCAACTTTGTAAAGCTATTTTAGTTCTCTTTCTTTCTCAAAAAACCTATATGACATCTTTCTGACAACTTAAAGAATAACAGCTGTAATAGTGCCAAAGAAAGAAAGATAGAAAAAAAGGATGAGAAAAAGTTGGCATCCGAAGAACACAGCATGCCCCCTCCCAACTCATGAAAGTTTTTTTTTCTTTTCCTATATTAAGGAAAAAAAAGTCCTGGCAAGTAGGCTGAGTTTGTATTAAAGGAAATTGCTCATCATAGTACAAAGAATATTTGAAACCAAATTGCTGAGTATTTGCATAATAGTTCCCTCTCTTTCTTTCCCTCTCTTTTTTTGTTAAACCAAAAAGATGAACAAGACACTAATTGTAGGGTTTTTTCCCCCCAATAAGAAAGGAGCAGATGGCCTCCATTGGGGGGGGGGGGAATGTATCTCCTTCTTTTTTCTTCCTAAATGCATGTGAAGATATAAAATAAATAAATGAATAAATAGGGGCTATTTGATGGAATGACTGGAGGAGGAGCTCTGAGAAAGATTCCAATGTAACAAATTAGAAAAGGGATCTTAATTTAAGCAGTTTTGTTCATATTCAAATTAATATATTTTTTGCTCACTCAACTGGTATCTACAGGGTCCCCTTGAAACAATTTTAGCCTCTCTTCTCCTGTCACTAGAAACTGTCACCGAAGGCCACCAGAATAAATACCTGTTGACAGGTGCATTATGCAATTTCAGAGTACCTCATTTCTTCTTTTTACCCCATTAATTTTTCTCCTGCACATGCATGAGGAGATAATACTTGTTGCCCTCTCCCTCTCTAAGCAAAAGTAAGAGTTTCTCTGGGAACTTGGAAGATACTTTTCTTTATAATGAGGACTGGTTAGAACATATAAAATACATTATTTTTGCTCACCAAGGGACCATATGGAAAGCTTTGAAGCATGTGCTCCATTAGTCTCCGGCTACTTGCCATTTACAAGTCTAAGTCCAGAGGAAAGACACTTCTGTACAATAATAAAAACAAGCAGTGCCATTTGTCTCATTCGGATGTTATGGGAAAGCACGTATTTTTCCAATAGTTTTGGGCAATGGTTCCAGAAAAAAATAAAAATGTTAATAAAATATTATGGACTGCTCTGTAATGAATTGAGCCACACAACAGAGAGCAGAGAAACCTTCATTATAGATCTAAGTCACTAATGGATACTAACTGAGCATGAATCCTGGCTTCACATAGTTATTCTCATTATTAAAGTATTGTTATTTTTATTGAACTAGTATCTACAGGAGAACTTAATTCAGGGTTATGTCTATCTGGCACAGCACAAATATAAAGTAAAAGAGATTGCAATTTTTCTGCTAGAGCCTAATTAGACAAAACAGACAAACAACAACAACAGAAACATTATGACTTAGCGGCACTTCAAAAATCTGTTCAGCAAATAAGGAATACGAGGCCCCATTTTAAAATCTGTTTGGACACAGAATCATAGATGACTGAAAGACCCTAGAGCTACATGATGATTGAAAGACCCTAAAGCTACAACCTCCATAGCACTTAGTCACTCTGCAGCCTGGTTCCCAATTAAATTTTCTAAGACATTTAAACAGGTAAAGCACCAAAATTCACAGACTTGGCTGTGTGACACCGGCACCTTTCAAAACCAGCTTCTGCAATTTCCCTTATCTTTTGGCAGCCTTAAGTCTGCAGATCTTGTCTCTACGTTCAGTTGGCACCATTACACAAATTGTTTTAAAACTGTACCTATTCTAATTTAATGGAGAGGAAACTGAGGTACAGAAAAGCACAACCTACTATTCGAAGTCATATAGGAAGCCTAGAACAGAAGAGGGAACTGAGCCCCAGATCACTTTATCTTTCTCTTCTGAAAAAAAATAATCCTTTGAAGGCTGAAATAAAACAGGGGATGAGGGGAAAGAAATTATTACGTTATAGTACTTTATCTTTCTCCCAGGAGACAGAGTCTTTGTAACATCATGTGCTCACACTCGCTTCTGAGAAATGACAGGAGCGGTGACAGGTTTGAAAGGCTCCTGTTGGACACCAGGCACCCTCCTCCATCTCTCTGCAGGAGCAAGTATTATCACAAGAGTCACTCCCCAGCCAAACCAAATCTCTTCCTGGCGTTTGTTTACTCTACTGTCGCTGCTCAGGTATTAATTATCACAGCAGTGTGTGGCAGCCATAGGCAGGACAGCTCTAAGCCAGCCAGCTTAGACACAGGTAGCAGTTGTGGAGCTCAGCTTGCCCTTAACTCCAAGATGTATTTTGCAGTCTGTAGCGAGCCCTGACCAGCTGAGGCTAGGGCACTACATCTCAAAACTTAAAACCAGGGCTGTGTATGCATATTCTATTCACAGCAGTGCTTACAGCGTTAATATATCCGAGGGGAAGGCTGGTAAAGAAAGATCTTGATGCAAAAGGCAGCTAATCTCACAGGTAGCTTCACAGGGCCATTGTTGTGTCCCCCCAGCCTCGTCACAGGTAGAATAGCAGGTGACTTTAATTGAGCCTTCCGTGTTCAACTCAATATTATACTTCTCAGATATGCAATTTTAAATAAAGAAATCACATCACGTTGATCTTTCCTCTCTTCTGCCCCCTTTGAATGTGGTTGAATTATTGCCACATTAAGCTCAACTCCTGTGATTTATACACACAACCCTATTAAACAGTTACATTAAACAAAATATTTTAATGCTTTACATTGATCTGTCACGTGCATTCAGTAACACAATAGCATACCAAAGAAGAAGGGCCAGTTTGTGGGTCCCAGTGAGCCATCACCACACCTACGACTCTGATTCCTGTCGGCACAGCTATGTCAACAGGGGTCTGAGGAGGGGCCAGAAGCAGCCCTCAGAGCACAGCCTGATACAGGTAGAGCTTATTTAAGTCATGAGAGCTGGCCGTCGCCGTAACGATACAATACATAATGAACATCCAGGCTAAAAGCACTTGTCAACATAGATGATGAAAGGAACTAGCCACTCAGTTCTCACAGGTGACTTAAGTCGCTTTCGTTCCTTAGATGGCAGCCTGATACAGGTAGAGCTTATTTAAGTCACCGTAACGATACAACACATAATGACATCCAGGCTAAAAGCACTTGTCAACAAAGATGATGAAAGGAACTAGCCACTAAATTCTCACAGGTCACTTAAGTCGCTTTCGTTCCTTAGATGGTTTTGAATATCCCACCTAAAATTGTTTTCTGATCTATCTGTATTCTGCAGTCATGTTTGAAATGTCTTTCATTCGACTGCTGTTTCTGAAAAGTAACTCAAAATCCAACCAAAGCAGGATTTTTGTTTCTGCATTCCAGCATGAGGAAGAAAAATTCTTAAGACTCTGAGAAGAAAGGGTTTCCACAGTGCTCTGAGTAACACCTACAGCACATCTTATAAGTTGGCATTTGACTTCCCCCCTTTCCTAATTTGATGTGTTATCGTTAACAATTACAACTAACAACTGAACATAATTATTAGCCAGCGTGATGGTCCCTGAAGAGCATATTTTGATACTGGTTTTGTTTCTCTGACCATTTTAGTTTGTAAACAAGTGGACTCAGCAAGGTGCATGTGCCACTGGCAGTACAATAATGCCATCCTTATGCCTGTGTTGAAAATTTATTTGCCACTGTCCTGGTTTCGGCTGGGATACAGTTAATCTTCAGAAGCAGCTGGG